AGAGGCGGCGGCGCCGACCGCGACCCCGAGGCCCGCCTCCCGGCACCAAAGAGGCGCAGGAAGGAGAGTCGGCCCGCCCGCCGGCTCCTCACACAGCCCCTCGCCGGTCCTCCAGCCTCCCAGCGAGAAGAGAGAGAGAGCGTCCCCGGAAACCACCGAAACGCTGGGGTAGAGCGGCACACGTTCTTCCTCCTGCCCGGCCCTGCTCGGGGGCCGTGCTCCAGCGTGGGAGGACCTTGGGCTCCCCCTCCGCCCGGGCGGCCAGCAGGAGCTCGGCGGCGCCAGATCGCGTTGACCCAGAGGTTAGTGGAAAATGCGGTGTGAACCAGGCGGCCCTGTCTCTGGACCGAGGGATCCAGTCCGGAACCAGAACCTGCGGGAAGGGAGTGAAGAACCAGGAGCCACGCTCCTTGGAAATCCTATTCAGGGATGGCAGAGGGTCTGGGGATGCTTTCCCAGAGACCTGTGGACGGGGGATACTGAGGCTGAAAGGCAAAGTCTTGGCTTCTGAGGAATTGAGAGAAATAAATGAACAAACCAGTGTTTGGCAGCACTTGTGGTAATAAGGAAGTGATTATATAGTGAGCTGTGCCTGTTTCTACTTGTGTCTGCTTTGTCAAGGAATAAAAATGTTAGAATTAAACACTTCCCTGCCAACAACATACTTCATCTCCTTTTTTAACACCCTGTTGAGAAGCTCTCCTATACCTCTTAATTTCTTTTGCTAAGTTATCATTTCCATTACGGACTGGGAATGGCACTGTCTCCCAATGTTCACTCCTAGGGGGATGTGAATAGTGGCCTTAATTCCTCCAAACAATGAAGCATAGAATCTAAGGTCTGTGACAGATCACAGATTCATCTCACCCAATCTTTAAAGAAAATTAGAATCACACATAATCCCATAAAGGTAAATCTGATATGTATAGTTTCCCAGTCTTTTTTCCTATTCGTATGTATTTTTCTTTCTTCCACAATACTTGAACTTTCCTCTCCATTTTGCTTTGTAGCCTGCTTCTTTCACTTAATGAAGTTTTCTACACTAATACGTATTATACTTCATTGTCAATGTTGGCGTAGTACCCTATTGTATGAGTATACCATACTTTATTGAAATAATCCTTTATTGCTAGACATTAGGTTGTTCCCAGTATATGTCAGTATTCTGAAGAGAATCGCACTGGCATATTTTCATTATTTCCTTGGAGCAGAGTATCCAAAACAAAATTATTAGGTCAAAGATATGCAAGGTTTTAAGGCTTTTGATGTATCTGCTGTCACATTGCCCTCCAGAAAGTACATGAATTTACACTCCGCATCTCCACTTCCACCATAAAAGAGAAACTTCCCATCATACAGTTTCTCTTTTCCCCCTAGCTCTGAGATTCCTCAGTACAATGACTCAAGCAGAAATTAAACTGTGTTCTTTGTTGCTGCAAGAGCATTTTGGAGAGATTGTAGAAAAAATTGGAGTCCACCTAGTCAGAACTGGCAGCCAGCCACTGAGAGTTATCGCCCATGACACAGGGACGTCACTGGATCAGGTATGTTTGGATCATGTTAATTTGCTTTCATCTCATCAATGTCTTTTACCTATCTTTGAATATTGTTACTCCTCATCCCACAAAATGAAAAGAAGAGAGAAGCCTGCCCTAGGATCAGAATAAGGTTACTGGGGACAGGGCGAGGCAGTAGGGGCCCAAGGTTCTGCTTCTCGTTCCTGAGCGTTCCTGACTCATTGTGGCTTCTGAGGCAACTCTGTGCTCTTCCTGTGCCATACTTCACTTATTCATACTGCGTCTGTTAATTTCAGTACTACCTTTAAGGAATGTGAATAATAGAGAAGTAAATTGTACTTTGAAAGGTAAAGATCAGAAGAAATATGAGCATCATAGGAAGGAATCTTCCTGATTCCTTCCACTGACATGCGATTCTGATCAGCTGTTGCAATGGAGAGAGGGAAGAGGCACAGGAATTCCAGCCACCTCCTGATGCTTCATAAACTGTTGGAGAGAAATTGCCAGCAATAATGAGCTACATCTTCAGATATTTCTTCTCTTTCTTTTGTGTCCTCTCCAGGTAAAAAAGGCCCTTTGTGTCCTTATTCAGCACAACCTGGTGATACATCGAGTGCACAAACGGGGTGTGGTGGAGTATGAAGCCCAGTGCAGCCGGGTGTTACGAATGCTTAGGTATCCCAGGTACATCTATACTGCCAAAACACTGTATAGTGACACCGGAGAGCTGCTTGTCGAAGAGCTGCTGCTGAATGGCAAAATGACAATGTCAGCTGTTGTGAAGAAAGTAGCAGACCGGCTCACAGAGACTATGGAGGGTCAGTACTGCAGCCACGCTGTTGGCAGAGGTGTAGGTTGGCGGAATGCAGGAGCGGACCCTCAGCTCTCTTAGGTTATCTCACCTGCCCCTTTCCTCCTGCTGTACAGATGGCAAGACCATGGACTATGCTGAGGTATCCAACACATTTGTGCGACTAGCAGACACACACTTTGTGCAGCGGTGCCCCGTGGTGCCTGCCACTGAGAATTCAGAGCCTGGGCCACCACCGCCTGCCCCTACTCTTGTCATCAGTGAAAAGGACATGTACCTGGTTCCTAAACTAAGCTTGATAGGTAAGCAATTCTGAGCCCTAGAACTATGACTCACCCTAATTGTGGATTCTTCCTCATTGAGTGTTGAATGGATGAATGGATCAATTGAACAGTTACCAAGGAGTTTTCTCTTCCAGAGATTGTGATGTAAAGTGATGAAAAAACCATTACGGTCCCTGCCCATTTGGGGCTTATGTCTAGAATAGGAGACTTCCATTAATTAGGAAGCATCATAGATGTATATTACAGCTAACAAACTGTGGTAAGTACTATGAAGGAAAAGGATGAGGTGTTATGAAAATACGTAACAGGAGGTTAGATTTATGTGGGCATTTAGGGCACATGCTTCTTTGAGATAGTGGCATTTGTACTAAGATTTGAAGCAGAGGTAGGAGCCAACCAGTGAGGTAAGGTATGACGGAGGACAGAGGGTAAGTATTTTGGCAAATGGAATAGTGCATAGTAGAAAACAAACAAACAAAGAGGATGTTTGAGGAAGTAAAAGAAGCTCAGGGTAGTGAAAGCACAGTGAGTAAAGGAAGGAGAGCCATCAGATAAAGTTAGCAAGATAGGCGGGGGCTAGGTCATGCAGGACCTTATAGAGCGTCTGTTCTTTATCCTGAGAGCAAAGGAAAACTCCTAAAGGATTTTAAAGGAAGTGACATGATCTAATTTGCATTTTTAAAAGATTTTTCTGTCTGCAGAAAGGATGGGGCAAAGGTAAATGTAGACGTGGAAGGGGTGAGGAAGACAGAGAAGTCAAGGATGACATCTATGTGCCACGTATGTGGGAGGGTGATGGTACCATTCACGCTGAAAGGAAGCATTGGAGCAGGAGCAGTTTGAGGGAGAAAGATTACGAATATCTTGTTCAACATGTAGAGTTTCAGATGCCTTCATGGTTAACTTGCATTTCTTGTAGCTCCTCGGTCTCCTCACGACTGTGACTTAGAGGTGACTGCACGTGTCTTTGGGACAGAGACAGCTGCTGTCATGTTCGGTCATTTCCTGTCATCTTATGAGATGTAGCCTAACTCGTTCAACTGTTTACTTTGGCAGGGAAAGGGAAAAGGAGGAGGTCGTCTGACGAAGATGCTACTGGGGAGCCCAAGGCCAAGAGATCAAAGCACACCTCAGATAACAAGGAGGTAATGGGGCTTCCTGATTAGTAGGAGTCCTCACTGTAAGGAGAACCAGAGAGAGCGCTGAGATAACAAGCCCCAGAAGAGCTTGAAGGCTCTTGGGTCGGGAAGTAGTAGGATTATGAACTTGATCAAATATGGAGTGAACGCCATTGCCCTCTCTCTTCTGAGGTTTAACTTACTTCAGTCATTGGACAGAGGGAGTAGCTTATGCCAAAAAAGGGCCTAGAAAATGTGTAAATTGTTCAGTCTGGCTGGAACATAGAGACCCATGGTGGCCAGTGGTGACAAATGAGTCTAGAAAGATGTACATTGGCCTGAGCTGTCATGTTCAAATGCCTTCCCAGCATCCGTGTAAAGATGGCTAATAAGCATCTGGAAATTAGTATGGCCAAAACGGAGTAACTGGTTTCCACTCCCAGACATCTGCTCCCCTGACAAGCTCTCTTCGTCTTAGTAAGGGACTCCTCCAAGGCCAGCCACCTGGGGCACCATTTGCTTAGGACAAAATCCTGGGAACCATCTTATCTCACAGTAAAACCATCAGCCCAGTTTCTAAAATTTAATTCAAATCCAACTATTTCTCACCGTTTCCACTGCTGTCATCCTATCCAAACCACTACCACTCTAGTCAGTGCTTTGCCAGTACTCTCCTAAGTGGCCTCCCTGCAGGCATTCCCACCTACTTGAGAACCAAAATGACTCTCTAAATTGTTCTTTTTAAAAAAGCCCAATACTTCAGTGATTTAGACTCCTTTAATAGCTTCCCATTACTCTTAGAAGAAATCTGAGTCTTTACTGTGGATTATTAAGCCTTATATGAGCTGGGTCTTTACGTGGTCTGGTGGGGACAAGGCTCTCCAGACTCAGCTCTCTCTCCTCTTCCTCTCATTCACTGTGTTCTGGCTTCTGCCTTTCTTTCTGTCCCTCAAACATGTCACACCCCTTCCAGTCTTCAGGCTTTTGCCTGTAGTATTCCTTCTGCTTCACATGCTTTTCCCTCAGATCTTCATGTAGTTTCCTCTTTTTTATTGTTCAAATCTCAGCTTAAATGCTGTTTTCTTAGAGCTCAAGCATCATTGCCCACCCTCCACTCCAGTCTCTACCACACTTTCCCATTTCATCTGCACAGCACTTGTAAGATCTGAAGTTATTTATTACTACTCCCAAAAGATTGGAAGCTCTTTGAGGATAGTATCTTATCCCTGGCACCTGGAATTCTAGCAAGACATCAATAAATATTTCTTGATTGACTAAGAGGTTTGGACTTCATCCTGAAGGCAAAGGGCTGGCACTGATGAATTTTAGGCAGGGGAACGAAGTGGCTAGATTTACATTTTAGCAATATTACCATAGTACCATGGTTCAGAGCTTGTGCACCTCCATGGATGCCGTTCAGAGAGTCCACCTGTAGTTGTGCACATGTGTGTTCTCTGTGAGAAATGGGGAGAATGATGCAAAAAGTACAAAATTAAAAGCAGCAAACCCAGTTACCCTTTTTATAGTGTCCACTATATTAAAAAGAAAAATGAAAACCAGTCAGGAGGCTATTGTAATCTGCGTGAGCCAAGATTAGAGCCTGAAATAAGGTAATGACAGTCTGATAAATATAAAGAACACATAGAACTTGGTAATTGGTTAGTAGATGAGGGAGAGCAAGGAGTTAGGGATGATATTCAAGTTTCTAGCTTGAGAAATTGGGTTGGTTATAGTGTAGTTAGCTAAAAACTTCAAAAGAACATTTTTGAGGAACTAGTGGAAAGTGTCAAGTAGGCAGTTGAGTCTGTGCATCTGGAGCTTAATAGAGAGTTCTAGAACTAAGTAACTGATTTGGAAGTACATCAATAGTTGAAGTGTTAAGAGCAGATAAAATCACCTAAGTGGAATATGTAGAGTGAAAAGAAAAGAGGGCTATGGCCCAGTCCCTGGGGAACACCAGCATCTATAGGTGAGATCTGGAAGAGGAATCTGTGGGGACTGAGGAAGGGTAACAGAATGGTTAGGAGGCACACCAAGAAAGAATGGTGTCATAAAGTCCAAGGGGCCACATAGAGTTAAGAAGGAGAAAATGTCCAACCATGTCATATGCTTCAGAAAGATCAGATAAGATTGGAACTGGACATTATTCTTTGAACTTAGCAATAGTTCCTCAGGAACTTTGTCATTTCAGTATAATGGTAGAAATGGGTTGAGTAAATCTGTGGTTGGGGATATAGCTGGGATGATCAACTCTTTGAGAAGCTCAGCTGTGACAGAAAGGAAAAGGAAGGAAGGCACAGTGTCAAAGGAGAACTCTTTTAGGGTAGAAGAGATTTGGACAAGGTCAGCGCTGATGGGAAGAAGCCAGTAAAGAGAGGCTAAAGATTTAGAGGAGAGAGGGGAGAACTGACCTGAGTCCCTGAGAATGCAGAAGAGGGTGAGACCTAGCACCCCCATATGGGCATTGATTTTAGGTAGAAGGAGGGACATTGTTCCACTGTGATAAAAGTAGGTAAAAACACAGATTTTTAAAAAAAGAAACAAATGTTATGGGGATGTGTTCACCACACTGGATGAATTCTGACCTAATGGCTTCTCTTTGCTCTCTGAAAGAAGAAGCAAGGTCATCTGCTGAGTGAGAAGGGCAGGGCAAATGGGAGATTTGAAGATACTGGAGATGAGATAAAGTAGAGAAGGACTGGAGGTTCAGTCTTGAAGATTGCAGCTTCAAGAATCTGTTTGGGTCACGCTCTGTCTCTTGCCTGAGACAACCCCCACGCTGTCTATGGAGTGTGTTATCTACCTTTACTTTAACCCCCCTACCCTCCCCATCCCCACCCCATGTACATCACTCTAAATAAATCTTTTGCTCAAAAAAAAGAAAAGAAGAATCATGAAGTCTGAAGTTGGGGGCTGTGAATTTGTCATTTTCCAGGTACTAATCCACATGACTGATTTTTCTCCAGCCAATTTAGATTCTACTGTATGGGAAAAGAAATGGTGAACAGTCAAATCCAAGCTCCTCGTTAGAAAACTTCACTGTATCTAAATGTTTCTCTCTAATCCCTTTCTCCTCCTCAGCCCATTCCAGATGATGGGATTTATTGGCAGGCCAACCTTGACAGATTCCACCAGCATTTCCGTGACCAAGCCATTGTCAGTGCAGTTGCCAACAGGATGGACCAGGTGATAGTCAAGTGGGTGGGACAGTGGCTGTGAAGAACATCCGCTTTGCCAGATGTGGCCACTGGCATATAGCCAGAGCCAGTGCGTCAGCGTGAGTTCTGAACTCCAGTTCACTTTTCAAACCCAGACTAGCAGCGAGATCGTGCGGACCATGCTCCGGATGAGTGAGATCACCACTTCCTCTAGTGCCCCCTTCACCCAGCCATTGTCTTCCAATGAGGTGAGCTTCACCTTCTGTCCTGGTTCTCTACGGCCTCTGGGATGTTATCATCATTCTACATGGAGCCCGGGAGTAGGTTGAGGTCTGAGCCTTGAAAGAAAGGGTTTTTGCTGTTTGAGGTGGGACAGGCGTTACCTTCAGGTGGTAGGTACTGAAATATTTGGTCTCCTGGAAATCCAGCCTTTAGAAACCTAAACCATTATCTTAGTCAAAGAACAAATTACTCTTAATTGTTCTAGGAATCCACTATTTGGAATCTGAGCCTTAGTGCTCAGGACATTATTTGGGCCCTTGTATTTGTTTTTTTCAATGTATTTTGTATATTTTAAGTTTGTTTTAAATATGTTTCTTAAAATATTAATACTTAATATAGCAAATGTTTTATCTATATTCTGTTACTTTTGTACTTATACTAATTATTCATATTAAATATGGTTACTATATTTTTATAGTCTTTATTTTAAATTTTTTTAACTTATATAACAAAAATTTAAATACAAGGGTTTTTTTCTGATGACAAAAGTAATTATGTGATCTACATTCAAACAGCATAGAAATGTATAATTTTTTAAAAGTTGCAGTCCCCAGACTTTCAGGAATGAAGGACATGTTCTTTATCTTGTAGGTGAGAGTTACGTGGGTGTATACAATTGTCAGCTCATCAAACTGAACCCTTAAGATCTGTGCTTCTTATTGTATGTAACATACCCCAGTTTAAATGTATGTATAGTTTTGTGTAATCCCAGCCCCAGAGATCCTTGTCAATAGTTTGGTGCATCTCTTTATTCAGACTTTTATGTAGAGTCTCACAAAAATGTAGGTATATGTATATTTTTAACTGAAAAAAAAAATGGGATTGTATGCTACACAGTGTTCTAAACTCACTTTTTTCATATGGTAGTATATGTACACCTTCGTTTCATGTCAGTATTTTTAGATCTGCCTCATTCTTTTTTTTTTCATGTCAAATTTAATATTTCAAATTCAGCCTCATTCTTAATAAAACATCTTTTTCATATATAAATTTTTATCGAAGTAGTCAGTTTACAATGTTGTTTTCTTTATATATATATATATTTTTTTAATTGAAGTGTATAATAAAACATCTTTATTTCAGCAACGTCAGCAAATCTAAGTTCCCAAACCCATTGTCCCTGTCTCTCTTGTTCCATAGATCTTCAGGTCCCTACCTGTTGGCTATAACATCTCTAAGCAGGTTCTTGATCAGTATCTCACTCTGCTGGCAGATGATCCAGTAAGTCTGTTTTTTTCTTTTTTCTTTTTTTCTGTTGTATTTATGATTTACTTCTGCCACTGACACCTAGTATCATTCTTCTGTAGCCTCATTCTCTATCTAGCCAGCTCAGACAGTTTCTCTACCGTCATCTGATAGGGCTACCTGCTCCATACTCTTGGACAGATTTGCTCTGTTGGAAACAGAATCACTGGACTTGTTGCCATTCGGATGACACGTGCTCCCTTTTTTTTTTTTTTTAATAGCTAGAGTTTGTTGGAAAGTCTGGCGACAGCGGTGGAGGAATGTATGTCATCAGTATCCTTACCGGTGGTTATTTCCTTTCAGTCAGGCAGCCTGACCTATAAAACAGGACGGTGATTTATAAAAGAAATGATTTGATGATATTTAGTACACTAAGTAAGGTAGAATATTGAACGAAAACATTGATAATAGAGAAGTAAAAGGGACTTTCAACTAACCAAGTTTTAGTTAAGCAAAACCCTGATTTAAATATCCTAGTTAATTAAGGTTTTGAAATACACATCATAAATGAGACCGATGTGAAAAACAAAATAGTATTTAAATTTTAAAGACTTAGGAATAAAACTAAGATCGCAATGACCAGGCCAAAACATTACTGAGCGACCTTGACCCTCGGCATGAAGACCTACACAAGGCCCTAGGCTGCCTAGCCACCGCCAGCCTGGAGTCCGTGGTACAGGAGAGGTAAGGGGGTCACCCCGATTGGTGCTGGGGGTCAGACACTTCCTCCTCACGCCCCATTTGCACAGGTGGTTTGATCTTTATGTCACATGCCTTGGCACATCTTGCCCCATTTTTCCACTGAACTGATCCGGTCTACTATTGCCCTTTACCGTAAATACCCTACTGCTCAGTTCCCAGTGACGCCAGCCCCTTAAAGCCGTTACTTACAGATGCAGGAGCTGAAGCATTTAAGTGAGTCAGCAGTTTGTGGCTCTCCTATGATCAGCTGTACCATCGTCAAATTGTGGAGTTATGAGAGAATTGTCTCAGCACCGTTCCTTTCTGGTCCTGGCTCCACACTTGGAAACCGAACAACCACCATCTGTGACTAAGAGCTAAAGCTAATCTGTGTTGGCATGCCTTTTGCTTTCTTCATTCCTTTCCAGATTTGGGTCTCGCTGTGCCAGAATATTCCGTCTTGTTTTGCAAAAGAAACACCTGGAGCAGAAGCAGGTAGAAGACTTTGCAATGATTCCAGCAAAAGAGGCAAAAGATATGCTTTATAAGATGCTCTCAGAAAATTTCATATCACTCCAGGTAACAATAACCACCAGCCAGCAGAGCTGACCTAGGGTGAGAGAAATTCCTGAAGCAAAGATCCTGAACCCCAAGGAAACTCTGTATCCAGCGCTGAGATAGAGGGAAAAAAAGATTAACAAAGACATAGCAAGCACTTGAAAGATAATTGTGGAACTTTAACTGTCCTAGTAAAAAAGAGGCACAGCCAGGAAATCAGCCCAGAATCACCTTACCCTTTCTTCTTTAGTTGTAAGCCCCTTTCCTCGAGCTTTAACTTTATTATAGATTAAATCCATCAGTGGCATCTATTGGATCCTCACTATCTGCAGAGCCATGTGGTATATATACCCTATGAGGGAACAGACAGAATGGATTTTGGAGTCAGAGTCACAGCTCTGCCTCTTACTACAGTTACACTGAGCAAATTGTCTACCATCTTTTTTCCCCATCTACAGAGTGGTGATGGATAGTGGTAACAGAAGAAATCCGGTTTGTTATAAAGATCAAATACCATCTACCTGGCACTTGAGAGTTGCTCAGTACATGTTAAGCGCCTCTTCTTTCTTCCCCACTCAGGACATTGACAGTCAAATGGGAAAAACAGGGCAGCCCAGCTCTCCATGGGGCTGATTATGCCCTGGACACAGATGCTGTACTGACTGAGGAAGAGGAAAGTATAAGTGAAAGAGAAGGCTGAGTAGCTCCAGATAGGACAGGTGTTTACTTTGCCAGTTCTGAAGAAAAGCTTAATTTCTCTTATTTTTCTTTCTATGGACAAATAGGAAATCCCCAAAACGCCAGACCACGCCCCATCCAGGACCTTCTATTTATATACTGTGAACATCCCGTCGGCTGCCCGAATGTTGCTGCACAGGTGCTACAAGGTGACTCCTGCTGGCCTTTCCCCCCTTGCCCTCCGCGGAGGTGTCTCACCCTCGTGCCCTCGTTAGCCATTTTACCTGAGCTACTTCAGTAGAACTCTGTGCATTTCTTGTTTTCTCTCCCCTCAGAGCGTAGCCAACTTGATAGAAAGGAGGCAATTTGAAACCAAAGAAAACAAGTGAGTGGCATTTTCAGTTGAGTAATTAAGTTTTTCAGCGTCAGAAGTCTTGAGGGGAAATTTCCTATAGAAATGGAAACCAAAAGAGACAGTAACCAATCTGGTTGCCCTCAATTATTGGATTAGGTTGGCACGAATCACCCAGGAGTATACGCTTTTCTGTTATATTCCCGGTGAAATAATTTTGCAGATTAAGTTTATGAGAAATGTACAAACTGGCACCAGAGTTTCAGTACAAATGAGAAGCAGTGAGAGTTTCAGGAGTGAAGGTACAATTCGTTTTTACTTTCTTTCTTTTTTTTTTTGCAGGGGGCTGGGGATCAAACCTTTAACCATTTTATTTGGGAGCTTCAGGGGAGGGTCGAAGGGCTCGGGGGACAGTTAGATCCTACGTCCTCGTCCCAGCTGGGATCTCCCTAGCTTCATAGTCACTGAAAAGCTGAAGTCTCATTTCTAACGAAGCTTGTAGAAAACGTCCTCAGAAAATGACATTATTTATTTTGACCAGGAACATGCTCACTGGGGGAGTTATGCCCCAGGGCTACAGGATAAAAGAATCTCCAAGGCTAGGGACACGCCTCAGAGTTGTGTTTGTCTGACAGGCGGCTACTAGAAAAGTCTCAGAGGGTAGAAGCCATCATTGCATCCATGCAGGCCACGGGTGCAGAGGAGGCCCAGCTGCAGGAGATAGAGGAGATGATCACAGCCCCTGAGCGTCAGCAGCTGGAGACCCTGAAACGTAACGTCAACAAGTAAGCAGCATCACCCTTCACCCTCCAGCCTGTGTTTCAAAATACATTCCGAACAAACCCGCCTCCATTTCCTGCTACCCCTCCAGCTTAACGTGAGCAAACCTAAACTCACTGTCTTCTTCCCCAGCTCAGTTAACAGAATTCAGTCGACCCATTTTCCTGAGCTAAAAACTCTGAGGACATTCCTAGCTTCTCCTCCCTCACCACACAGCTCTCTCGTTCACCAAGGCTGCATTACTTCAGGAATGTGTCTCAGATGTGGCCTTTCATCTGCTCCCCACGCAGACCTTCATCACCTCTTCGACCTTGACGATCACCTCCCTCTTCAAACCATTTCTTCTAATGTTCTCAAAGTTAGTGTCTTTAAAGTGATTGATAATATCACTCTTCTAGTCTAAATGCTTATTGGCTCCTTGTTTTTAATATAGAGACCAGACTCTTTGGCGTAACACCTAAGGCCTTCCACAGTCTCATACATAGCAGGCTGTCTCTTCATCTTCAGTTCCTTGGCCTTCACCACTGGCCTTCAGAGGGATTGCTTTGACTCTGTAGATCACTCGGGGAAGTATTGCCATCTTAACAATATTGAATCTTCCAACCCATGAACGTGGAAGCTCTTTCCATTTATTTAGGTCTTCCATAATTTCTTTCAATAATGTTTTGTCATTTTCAGTGTTCAAGTCTTGCACTTCTTTTGTTAAATTTATTCCTAAGTTTTTATTCCTTTCTGATGCTTTTTTAGTGTTCTCTCAATTTCATTTTGGAGGGGTGCAGGGGAAGTAATTAGGTTTATTTATTTATTTTTAGAGGAGGTGCTGGGGATTGAACCCAGGACCTCCTGCATGCTAAGCATGCCCTCTACCCCTTCAGCTATACCCTTCTCACCCCAAAATTAATTTCATTTTTGAATTCTTCTCTGCCAGTGTATAGAAATGGAACTGATTTTTGTGTTTTGATGTTATATCCTACAATTTTGTTAAATTCATTTATTACAGGATCATGTCATCTGTGAATTAGAAATAGCTTTACTTCTTCCCTTTCAATCTGGATGTCTTTTATTTCTTTTTCTTGCCTAAATTCCAGGCTAGAACTTCCAGTAAAAGGTTGAATGGAAGTAAAAAGCACACATCCTTGTCTTGTTCCTAATCACAGAGGGAAAGATTTCCGTCTTTCACCATTAAGCATGGTGTTAGCTGTGGGTTTTTCATAGATGGCTTCTATCAGGTTGATGAAGTTCCCTTCTATTCCTAATCACCTTAAGCCTCAGCCGCTCTCAGCTTCTATTGTAAGACACACCAGGGCCTTTTACACCTGTGCCTTTAACATGTACTATCTTTCTCCTCATTGTAAGTTAGACTGTAACCTCTCCTGGGACAGAGGCTTTATCTTTCGAATCCTTGGCAATTTCCGCAGTGTCTCGCGTATAAGAGATGTTCAGTAAATGGGAGAATGATCTATTGGTTCTCCTGCTTTCCACCCAGTACTCTCGAGGGTAGCCAAGCAGTTCCCCATGGCCACACCCAGTCCAGCCTGTAATCCTAGATATGCTAATGAATATTCAGTCTAAGCAAATGCTTTTGCTTTTTCACTCAGGTTGGATGCCTGTGAGATCCAGGTGGATGAAACCATCTTCCTGCTGGAGTCATACATCGAGAGCACCCTGAAGAGACAATGACTCAGAAGAAGAGTCTCCCTTAAAAAATCTGAGGGGATTGGAAGGAAAAATAAAGGAGGTGCCTGGATGCATGCTGTGCAGTGGGATAAGTTGCAGATTCTTGTTCTGAAACCCCTTCTTTATCCCTTCCACCCAGAATACACCAGAAAGAGTTTAACGTATTTTTTAAGTTTGCTGATCCTGTTTTAGACCTATCAGTATATTCCCCCCTCGTCAAATGTTAGCAGGGGAAAGAACTTAAGTCAACTGTATTAATCATCTAACAGATGCATCAGTTCCCACCAAGAAATCAGCTAAGGCTGTGTTTGAACATCCCTGACAATGAAAGAAGTTTCTTCTTTCTGTTCCAGAATGTTCATTCCATTTTCAAAAGGCAACACCTGTTTTCTTTACTTTGTGAAACTGTAATCTTAAACACATACACACACACAGTGTAGAGAACGTGGAAGGCTCCCACAGAGGGGGAATAAAAGCTATTTTCAGGGCCAACAGGTGGATTGGCCCAAGGAGTCACACTAGAACCTATGGATGAAAGTCACATTTGCCAGCTCCAGGCTTCTAGCATATCTGAAGTTGTGTATGTAAAACACTTAGCACAATGCCTGGCATGTGGTAAGCACCCAAATCACTGCCTTCCTCTTCACCGTAGTTCCTAGAAAGTGGCAGTTCTGACTTCTCTCTCTCAGTACCATGGATAGGTGACTAATCTAGTTGATATAATTTATATGAGCAGCTTCATTTCATTTAAAGCAATTAGGTCTCATTTTACATATAATCTCCTCAGTTTCCTCTTACCAGTGTTCTAATTCATTGAACATTTGAATCTCAGTTAATTGCCAACCACTATACTAGAAATAATGTACAGAGATAAGTACAATACCATCTCTGCCTTCAAGACACTTCCCGTGCTTTACTGAGCAGCTGTTATGTGCCCCATACTGGGCCAGGCCTTAAGCATGCAAAGAGGAATAGCCTTGAGCGTACAGCCTAGTGGGAGGAGACAAGTGTTAGGGGGCTATGGTAGGGAAGTATTTTGTACAGAGGCAATGGGGGAAAGGGTCAGCCAGGAACGGGAGCATAAAGTGACACTTAACCTTTTTGAAAGATGGGGATTTGCCAGGTGGAAGGGGGCAAGGATCCCAGAAGGAAGCAGAGCCTGTTTCTTGGGGGAACTGCAAATAAGATATGACTAGAAAATAGGGCCTAAGTCCCACCAGAATTGACAGGCAGGGGCACGGACTGGTGGATTCTTGCTACACGGGGCTAAGTAGCTTATCTTATCCTGAGAGCAGTGGGAAGCAAAACGAGCAAATTTGCATTTTAGAAAGATCACTCTGGCAGCACTGGAGAGAATGAATTGGTGGGGGCAGGACTTTCAATAATATCTCAGGCAGACTATGAGGTGTGGGCAGGACTTTCAATAATATCTCAGGCAGAATATGAGGAAGGCCTGAACTAGGGTAATGGAGGCTGGAAGTAAAAGACAAGATAAAGACATGGATTTGAGAACATTTAAGGAGGTAGAGTCTGCTGCACTTGCTTGCCATTTGAGTGAGAAGAAAGAGGAGGTGTCAGAAATGTTTCCTGGGTGTCTGGCTGGGAGACAGCTGTAATTCACGAATTGTAGGTGTCACCTTCTATACCAAGATAGGTGTGCAGGGGGCTGTGGAGGGGCGCTTATACCCCCGCGCGTGGCTAGGGGGTGTTGACCTGCGAGTCCAGAAATCCCTGTCTGGGGATCATTTCCCTACACAGAGATGGGAGGAAAAGAGGGGCTGAGATTTTAGAGGTGCTCCCCTTTGTCATTTATTTATTACCCGCATGGATAGCCCCCAAGTGTCACACCTAAATTTCTCCGGAGACGTCCCGGAAGCCGGGCTTCCCGCCGGCCCCGCGGGGCGCCGGGAGGGGAAGCGCGGCCGGACCGGCAGAGGGCGCCG